TTTAAATGTGATTTAAAAAAAAAAATCAAAAAAAAAAAAAATGGGTTATAAGTATATTTTGGGACACCCAATATTATTATTTACTGTATTATTACACAAATGGTATAAATAAAATAATAAAGTGGATATAGAAATTTTAACTAGTCTTGAAACTGAAAGATGTAGAGTTGTGACGTCACGACCAACAAACAATGCGGTGGTGTTGTTGTTAGTGATTTGTTGTTAGTAGTGTGTTATTTTGTTAGTGGTGTTGTTATGGTGGTGGTGTTAGTGGCTGTAGTGTGAAACACGCTGCGTTTAACTAAGACCTGGTCTCACTAACAACTAAGAGAGCGTCACAACGACGTGGCGTAGATAAAGAGTGAATCAGCGTAGATGAGGGGCGGTGTTTATGGTGGAGGTGAGTCATGTTATTACTAGTATTACTGCTGACTACTACTCTACTACTGTATCTACTATACTATACTACTGCTACTAAAACTACTACTACTCTACTACTACTACTACTACTATACTACTACTACTACTACTACATTTACTGCTACTACTACTACTACTATGTACACTACTACTAACTACTACTATACTACTACTATACTCTACTTACTATGCTATACTACTACTACTGCTACTACTACTACTCTACTACTATACTAACTACTATACTATCTGCTACTATACTACTACTACTACTGCTATACTACTACTTACTCTACTACTTTTACTACTATTTACTGCTACTATGCTATATACTACTGCTACTACTACTACTATGCTACTACTACTACTACTATACTACTCTACTGCTACTACTACTACTACTACTACTACTACTACTTGCTTATCTACTACTACTACTGCTACTACTACTACTACTACTACTACTACTAATACTATCTGCTACTACTACTACTACTACTGCTACTACTACGCTATATAGCTACTACTATTTACTACTGCTACTACTGCTATACTATACTACTGCTACTTCTACTATTTCCTGCTACTATATACTACTGCTACTCTACTGCTACATACTACTACTACTACTCTGCTGTTTACTACTACTACTCTACTGCTACTACTATACTACTACTACTACTACTACTGCTATACTACTGCACTACTACTAGAACTACGCTGCTACTACTACTACTACTACTGCTGCTACTACAATACTACTACTACTACTACTACTTTACTATGCTACTACTGCTCACTACTACTACTGCTGCTACTATCTACTACTACGTGTTTACTACTACTATACTACTACTACTACTACTGCTACTACTACTACTACTGTTACTGCTACTACTACTACTACTACTGTACTATACTACTACTACTACTACTGCTCAAATACTACTACTGCTACTATTTGCTTACTACTAGCTACTACTATACTACTACTACTCTTACAATACTTGCTGCTGCAAATATACTACTTACTACTACTGCTCTACTATATACTACTGCTACTACTACTCTGCTACACATACTGCTACTGCTATACTACTACTTCTCTAACTACTGTACTGCTACTATACTACTGCTACTATGCTATATGCTACTACTGCTGTACTACTGCTACTCGCTATCTACTGTACTACTGCTACTATGCTGCTACTACTGCTACTACTACTACTGTACTATGACTACTACTACTGTACTACTACTACTACAAATATGCTGGCTTCTACTACTACTCTGCTATACTACTACACTATACTTGCTACTACTGCTACTGTGCTACTACTACTACTACTGCTACTACTATTTACTAATTCATCTACTATACTACTACTGTACTACTGTACTACGCTACTACTACTACTCTACTGCTACTTACTATGCTATACTACTACTGCTATGCTACTACTGCTACTTACTATGCTATCTACTCTTGCTACTACTGTACTGCTGCTACTACTACTACTGTGCTACTACTACTACTGCTACTATACTAACTACTATACTATTACTACTGCTACTATACATGCTGCTCTACTACTGCTACTACTGCTCTACTACTTACTACTACTATTGTACTACTACTGCTTACTATATACGCTACTACTACCTTACTAGCTGCTACTACTACTCTGCTGCTACTATACTACTACACTACTACTGCTATTACTACTGTACTACACTGCTACTACTACTACTGCTATTTTATATGCTACTACTACTACTATACTATGCTACTACTCTACTACTACTACTACTGCTGTTACTATACTGCTGCTACTACTGATACTACTGCTACTACTATGCTACTATACTACTACTGCTACTACTACTGCTACTAGTGTACTACTATGCTGCTACTACTACTGCAAATATACTATTACTACTACTATATGCTATTACTACTGCTACTACTACTGCTACTACTACTATGCTGCTACTACTGTTTGTACTCTACACTGCTACTACTAACTGCTGTAACTGCTGTACTCTGCTACTACTACTGACTATGCTATACTACTGCTGCTATACTACATTATGCACTACTGTTCTATACTGCTGCTACTATATTTGCTACCTACTTTATACTACTATTTGCTACTATTTGCTACTCTACTGCTACTAACTATGCTACTATGCTACTACTATACGCTGCTATATTTATGTGCTCTATGATACTATACTGCAAAATTCTGCTACTTCCCTGCTCTACTACTACTGCTACTACTGCTACTACTGTACTACTACTGCGCTACTACTACTACTGCTACTACTACTGTGCTATACGTGTTTACTACTCTGTGCTGCTGCTACTTACTACTCTGTACTACTACTGCTGCTATATACTACTACTACTACTACTGCTGCTACTATACTACTGCTGTACTAATACTGCTGCTAACTACTGCTACTACTACTGCTATACATACTGTACTACTACTGCTACTATACTACTGTTATCTACTAATGCTACTACTACTGCTACCTACTATACTACTCATACTACTGACTACTACTGCTATATACGACTATACTACTGCTGCTACTACTACTGCTACTCTACTACTGCTGCTACTACTGTGCTATACTACTACGGGCTACTACTACTAGTGCTATATGGCTTCTACTGCTATACTACTGTACTACTGCTACTACTATGCTGTATACTATATACTGCTACTACTGTACTACTATGCTGCTACTACTATGCGCATACTATACTGCTACTACTCTACTACTACTACTGCTTACTACTATGCTACTATATGCTACACTATATGCTACTACTGCTATACTACTACTGCTACTACTAATGCTGTACTACATACTATATACTGCTACTACTACTGCTACTATGCTGCTATACTACTACTGCTACTACTGTACTACTGCTCTACTACTGCTGCTACTACTACTACTGCTACTACTATGGCTAACTTGCAAACTATACGGGCGGGCTGCTACTACTACTACTATGCTATACTACTGCTGCTACTACTGTGCTACTATACTACTGTTACTACTGCTGCTAATATATGCGCTATACTACTACTAACTACTATGTACTACTACTGTCTACTACTACTGCTATCCACTGCTACTACACTACTTGCTAACTATTTGCTCTACTACTATACTACTACTAAATACTACTACTACTCTAGTACTACTACTACTGCTTACTACAAATACTACTATACTACTACTACTTACTCCCCTGCTGCTATTTTTATACTATACTGCTATACTGCTACTACTATACTACTGCTGCTACTGTGTTTACTGTACTACTACTGCTACTACTACTACTGCCACACTATGCTACTATGCTACTACTACTACTATACTACTACTGCTACTACTACTACTGCTACTACTACTACTGCTACTACTACTACTGTACTACTACTGCTATACTACTACTGCTACTGCTACTACTATACTATTACTACTACTACTACTGCTACTACTACTACTGCTACTACGTGCTGCTGCTGCTGCTGCTGCTGCTGCTGCTACTACTACTACTACTACTATACTACTACTACTACTATACTGCTGCTACTACTACTACTACTAAAACTACTACTGCTACTACTACTGTACTGCTGCTACTATTAATACTGCTACTATGCTGCTACTACTACTATTATACTACTACTGTTATACTATACTACTACTACTACTACTGTACTACTACTATACTTCTGTTTGTTACTATACTACTACTATACTACTACGGGCTACTACTGCTACTATACTCCCTACAAACTATACTACTACTACTACTACTATACTACTATACTACTGCTGCTACTACATACTGCTACTACTATACTACTACTACTACTGCTGCTACTACTACTGCTGTATTACTACAAAGTACTACTACTACTACTGCTGCTGTATACTACTGATAATGCTAACTATGCTATATACTACTACTATACTACTACTATACTATTTCTATACTGCTACTACTACTACTACTACTACTTTTTATACTGCTACTACTGTATACTAGTGCTACTACTACTATGCTATACTACTACTATGCTACTACTACTGCTACTGCTATTACTACGCTATACTACTACTAATGCTACTATACTACTGCTACTACTACTGTATACTACTACTACTACTACAAATTCTACTACTACTATGCTACTACTACTACTTTTAAATTACTAAAACTACTACTACTACTGCTGCTGCTACTACTACTACTGCTACTACTGTACTACTACTGCTGCTACTGCTGCTGCTACTACTGCACTACTATGCTGCTACTACTACTACTGCTACTACTACTACTATGCTACTACTACTACTACTACTACTGCTACTACTACTACTACTACTGCTACTACTACTACTTACTACTACGACTACTACTACTATACTGCTTTACTACTACTTTACTACTACTACTACTGCTACTGCTACTACTGCTACTACTGCTACTACTACTACTACTACTACTGCTACTCTACTACTACTACTACTGCTACTACTGTACTGCTACTACTGCTGCTACTACTATACTACTACTGCTACTATACTAAGTTGGTTTTGCCCCAGAATGTGACCACCCCCAGTCGACTAACACCCAGTTTACCCATTATTACTGTGGGTAAACATAGACAACTGGGTAAGGAAACACGCTCAATGCTTTCCTTTGCCAGGAATCAAACCCGGCCCCTCTTTGGTAAAGCGAGAGCTTTTGCTACCAGGCCATAGGCCCTAGGCCAATAGAATATCATACGGTTTATGTATCTGGTATTTGTTTAAATTAGTTGCAGTTTAAAGAAAGAGTTTCAAAGAAGATTGAATTTAATGGTGCCCTATAATGTAGGTGCGATAGTATGAGAAAAATTTTATGAATATAAAATATCCTTTTTTCAAGTATTTTGTATATTAAAA